TCGGGATCATTGGACTTAGCCTGGAACCCGTGAAGTAGTTCAAGACTTCAAGACTTCAATAGGTCTGGAGCCTCCTAGCATACCTTGCATTACGGGTCTCTATCGCATTCTGGCACCTCCCCCACGGGTCGTTTGACAGTGTCCGACGCACTTGGCTGTCCTCAGTTAGACAGTTCTCCGCGCCTCAACTCTTCTCCAAAGGAAGAGTTGCTCGTGGTCGAGCTGTGTGCTATGTGCAAAATGCTAACCAGTTAACAAAATCTATTCACATATTGTTATTGCCTGTACGTATACGCTCAGCCGGATTGCTTGTATCTATTGGGCATGTGCATTCACTGTACGTTTCATTTTGATTTTGTTTTTGCGATTGTATACCCTTGCCATTCTTTTTCTAGCTGGAGCGTTACCGGTGTCGCTACACATAATTAGGTTTCGGCTTGAGACACAGTGTCCACACAGTCGTTTTGTTTTTTGTTTTTGCCTGGATTTGACACCAAAATCCCTAGCTCCTGTTGGTCGAAGGCTTCCTACGGCACCCTTCTGGATGGGGGTTGATGTAGTGGCTGGAGACCGACAGTGTAAAATGCTCGAGAGTGTCAGCATCTTTGGTCTGCCTGTTCCGCATGCATGCTTTCACATGATTGCAAGCATTGGTTGCTTGGAGCATTCGATCGTGCATCCTTCTCCTATGTAGCATAGAATCCGCCAGGATCTTTGATATCCTGAGACCGCTTCTTCAGCTAAGTTTTTTATCTTTATTCGAGTCCCTACCACCTCCGGTGAAGTAACTTTGTCTTTAAACGGTGCGTGAGTTCAGAGCTACACCCTTCGCTTGCTAAGCATTTCCGCTATCAGATACTTTCAAGCATAATCAGGCAAAACTCCAGCGCTTCCAGGGAACAATATATTTTCCCTCGACTAACCAGTGGTTCTTTCTGATTCATACTGGGCGATCGAGAAACACGGGAAACACGGGATTTAGAGATCGGATCGTCATTGCGCATCTTGATTTCGCTCGTCCCCCATTACTAAAAGCTTTCCTCACCAACCGGACCTATACAGTTCGGGTGAGAGAAGTTCTGTCCAACGTTGGCAGCGCATTCAGCGGAGTGCCTCAGGGTTCAGTGCTAGGCCCGATGATCTTTTTGCTGTTTATAAATGACTTGGTCCAGGAGCTAGCGGTTCCTGCCTTCATCTTTGCCGACGACGTAAAACTAGTGAACTCAGTACCTGTAGATCAACTGAAGGGGGATCTGGCTAAGGTGGTCCGGTGGACACAGAAGTGGGACTTGGAGCTAAATGCCACCAAGTGTCACGTTCTAAATACCTTAAGGCTTCCAGTTTGCGTGGCTGAGACCACTGAACCGACGGTCTTCGCTCGCGTAGACCAAATGCTGGATCTGGGAATTTTGGTGCGCGAGGTTTTTAAGCCCAGTGGTCAATGCCTGGCCGCCGCACAAAAAGCGAGAGGCAATTGTTCCAGATTAAGGAGGCTTTGTCATCAAGGAAGGCTGAGGTTTTCTTACCTCTATATAAGGCCATAGTGAGACGGCAGCTAAAATACTGCGTGCAGGCTTGGGCGCCTTACCTGAAGAAAGATACCATTGTCATTGAAAAGGTTTAACGGTTAGCTACTAGGATAATCGCGGGGATAAGGGGTGAGTCATATAGGGAGATGTTAGAATCCTTAGGGCTCTTCTTTATGGAGAGGAGACTCCTAAGAGGCGACGTCATTGAAATTTTCAAAATAATGAAGGGACTGACTGGGCCAGAGGCGGACAGCCTGTTTACCCGAGCACCGCTCGAGTCAACAGTGGGGCATCATCTGAAGCTAATGAAGCCCAGAAGCCGATTCAACCTTAGACACAACTTCTTCGCAAGTAGAGTGACAGATGAGTGAAACCAACTACCATCTTCACTTCTAGACTGTAGGACAGTCTAGGAGTTCAAAAAGCAATTAGATGGGGTCTGGATCAGCCTCCATTTCGAGATTTGGTAGAGTGCCTACTATTGAGCGTAGCTGTTCCATGCTGTCTACTCTCGAATAACCTCCTATTTTATATGCGGACCCCATAAGAGAGGCTGTTCCGAACGAAGAA